TGTAGTACGACAAGCAATATAATCCAAACAAGTAACCCTCATGTATATACCATATGTCTCAAATTGTAGACGCCTAAACATTAACACCAAACTAGAGATAAACAATCTAAATAAAATTAATAATTAGAAACCCACAACACAAGACTGGTACGTCGAGTGAAATAATCCAAACAAAGAAACCCTCATGTATATACCATATGTCGCAAATTGTGAATCGCTAATCATTGATCCAAACCTAAGGATAAAATAAAGCAATATAGGAAGTAAAGATATTCATAATATCGTATTTATAATATCTTCCACTATCACTGGGAAGATAAGATAAATATCAGCATATAACTCCGCGTACTTTCAAGGGAAAAGTACATCGGTCATATATCTCAGCAATGAGTCATATACATAACTGGCATACGCCAAAGACTCAGGCTATCAACAATCGTCTCAATGCAAATACTTACAAGATTCTAATTCATCGCATCATCATGCGGGATGGATTACCCGGTTAGTATCCTAACATCGTACACAGCTCATTAGTCTCATCGCATCTCTGTACGTAACATGAGTGCGGGACGGACTACCAAGTAGGCATCCTAGAAATATGGCTCACAAGCCTCATCGCACCTTAGTACAGGATAGACTACTAGATAAATCATCCTAAACTCGACTCAATAGCCTGTATTAATGGTATATCGACGTACTACTCCATGTAGTACTGAGCAGTGCTCATCAATGATATCCAACATGTATATAAATGTGTAATCAACATTTATCTCAAGTGTAATCGAAACAAAATTCATCATAACCCCCTTTCGGGATTCTTGTGGCGTGCTACGACATTATATAGGTGTACCCATGACTGTACATGTATCATCGTGCGGCTCGATCCCCGCGATCGCATTAAATAAATGTAAGAAACAAAACTACATGTTAAAAATATCCCAGGTCGGTCGACCGTCCCAAGGGCGTCGGTTGACCGAACAGAGCATTGTACACAACGTGCACACACATGACTTCACCGGTCGACTGCCCCTAGGGCGCTGGGCGACCGGCCACAGCAATATCTGGCTATTAGGTTTTTGGGTTTGCATAATTTATAACTATATTTAAATACTTATTTATATCATCATGATACATATAACAATATTAAAACTTTAACATTAAATAACAGAAGATCATCTCTACAAAAATTAAACTTTTGATTTAATCTTATTAGGGTTAACATCCTAATTAATCAATTTCTTGAATAAAACATGAAATTTGTCACAATATTAACTAAATATGATAAATTCTACATAAATCAACAGAGATAAAAAATTATTTAAACATGTTTACATAACTTAGGTATCACAAACCAAGGGTTTAAACATCTCTCTTTTACATGAAAACTCAATTAATAATAAATCTAGGGTTTAAACATAATTAGGACATGATTAACAAGTTAAAAATAAAATTTAAAAGTAACCCTAATGATCATGATCATGTTATTAACATAAACAGTAAGAAATAAATTTCATATCTATCATAAGATTAAGATTTAACCTTAAAAATCATGTTTTTAAAGCATGGGGTTAAACTTCAACATGAGATTCATCATTATAATTAATAAAAAATTAATCTTTACTAAGGGAAGGGTTTGGGGGAAGATGATCTTATCTTAAACACTGATGTAAAAACTCAACGATGCAAGAAAACAAGTTCCCCCTTGCCAAAAGCCGACAAGCTCACCCTCTTCTCGGTATTTGCTTCACAAAGCTCTCAAAATTCACCAAAAAGTGATCTAGGTTTTTGAGGGGAGAGGGTGGCTGCTAGGGTTCAGAGATTTAATAAAAAGAGAGAATCTTAGTAAAAAAAACACAGGTATTTATAGAGGAAAACCCAAAATAAATCTGTTTGACCCGAACTAGGAAACCTAGTCAGACTAGGAAAATAACCTTTGGTATTTTAGTTATAACTTTTTTGTCCGACATCAGAATGAGGTGATATAAGATTTTTTCAAAATCTATTGAAAAGGCCTACAACTTTTATCTTTTGAGTATTTCCAAAATCTTATTGTATCAGTGTCTAAAATATAAAAACTTTTAACTGGTTGTTTTTTCATATTCAAGCTTGTGCATGTCGTGCATGATTTCACTCCTATATTCATATATATACATTGGATTGATCTCAAATCAATCCCTAGCATACTAAAACATTAAAATATGTTATTTATCACCATATAATATATTTATTATTATTATTTATATAATATTCAAATTTTATGGGGTTTTATATTCTTCCCCCTTAAAAGAATTTCATCCCCGAAATTTCGCAAACGTATCTTAGGGATTAGTAATATGAGAAAAACACCAAGAGCACATCTCGTACTATTAATCTCCAGATATAAAATATAGTAATATCTACACTTAACCATCTAGAATACGAATACTCCCACTTAACTCCTAATTAAGCGGAACAAGTACGTCGGGTAAAAAATCCAAACAAGAAACCCCCATATATATACCATGTGTTCCGAATAATTATGAGTTAAGTGTTAATACCCTCATTCTAACATTAAATATAAATATAACAACATGAATAATCATGAACACTAATCAAAACCAATCAATTTATCTGCTCAAACAGGTGCGGGTAGTCACGACGCATAACATCTTCACGCTCCCTCCAGAATCCTTCTCGATATCTATACTTAACAATCTAGAATGTAAATACTCTTACTTAACTCCTAATTAAGCAGAACTAGTACGTTGGGCAAAAATCCAAACAAGGAACCTCCCATATATATACCATATGTTTCGAATAATTAGGAGCTAAGTGCTAATATCATCATTCTAGCGTTAAGTATAGATATGAGCATGTAGATAATCATAAACATAGGCGAATCATATCCAAACCATTCTAGCGTTAAGTATAGATATGAGCATGTAGATAATCATAAACATAGGCGAATCATATCCAAACAATTTACTTGCTCAAATATAGATATGAGCATGTAGATAATCATAAACATAGGCGAATCATATCCAAACAATTTACTTGCTCAAATAAGTGCAAGTCATCCTGATGCATATCCTCATCGTGCCCCAAGAAACTTCCTCAGCTCCTTTCTGATTCTATTGAACTTTAACTAAAGGAATTACTTTGTTTCTAAGTCTCTTGTCCTCATTAGCAAGAATACACACATGAATTTCAGTAATAGTCATATCATCAAGAATCTCAACCTCTAGCGTGTCTAACACTCGTTGCTGCTCCTCGTCACGTAGGTGCTTCTTAAGAATCGAAACATGGAAGACATCATGCATACTCGACATCGATGCTGGAAGATCTAGCCGATATGAAACAGCTCCAATGCATTCCACTATCCTGAACGGACCAATATACCTCGGGGAAAGCTTTCCCCATCTACCAAAACACTGAATTCCCTTCATTGGTGATATTTTTAACAATACATAGTCCCCAAGCTAGAACCATAATAGTCATCGTCTCTGATCTGTAAAACTCTTCTGACGACTCTGCGCTGCAAAATACGCTCCCGAATTATTGTTACTTTTTTGTAGTCTATCTCACTAACTTCGATCCAAATAATAGGTTGTCCTCTAGTTTTGCCCAACAAATAAGCGATCTACAAGGCCTCTCGTACAACGCCTCATACGATGCCATACCAATTGTTACTTGGTAACTATTGTTATAAACGAATTCAATCAATAGGATGTGGTCCTCCCAGCTGTCCCGGAAATCTATAACACAAGCTCATAATATATCCTCCAACACTTGGTTGACTCTCTCCTTTTGTCCATCCGTCTACGGGTGGAAACCACTAGAATACGACAAGTGGCTAGTGAAAGAGTTTTGGAAGATTCTCCAAAAGTGCAAAGTGAAAACCGAGTCTCGGTCTGATATAATTGTCTCTGGAACTCCATGTAATCTCACTATCTCCTGGATGAATATCCTCGCATATGTCTCTGTCGTGTACATCATCTTCAACGGAATGAAATGTGTTGACTTTATCAACCGATCAACTATTATCCAAACTGAATCGCTTCCCTTCTTCGATCTTGGCAAATCCTACAATAAAATTCATAGAAATATCTGCCCACTTCTACTCCAAAATGGGTAAAGGCTGTACGGTTCCTGTCGGTCTCTGATGTTCTGCCTTCACTTACTGATAGGTAAAACATCTAGCCACATAATCTGTAATCTCCCTATGCATGCCGCTCCACAAAAAGTGTCTCTTCAGGTCCTTGTACATTTTAGTTGTGCCTGGATACACTGTGTACCTGGTACGATGTGCCTCATCAAATAAGTCATTCTTCAACTACGGATCACTCGACATCACTAACCAGCCCTTCATTCGAAGTCCTTCATCTGCTCCAATAGTCCAATCATCCTTTGGCTCTTTGGAAATCTCCCACTTTCGAGTTTGAATCTAAGAGTCATCTAGCTGAGCTCTGACCACTTTATTACTCCAAGATGGCTACTCAGACAAAGCTCCCAAAAATACATTACCTCTGCCAATCTTTGGTCTAAAATAAAATTAGCTAAGGGTGTGAAGATCTCGATATAATGAGCACCTCAGAGCTACAATCCGATGACGATGCTTCCTACTCAATACGTCTGCTACAATATTAGCCTTCCCGGATGATATTTAATCGCAAACTCATAGTCTTTGATAAACTCAACCCATCGTTATTGTCTCTGATTTAGCTCTTTCTGAGAGAAAAGATACTTCAAACTCTGATGATCCGTGAAAAGCTCAAACTGCACTCCATACAGATAATGTCTCAATATCTTTAGTGTAAAGACCACTGCTGCAAGTTTCAAGTCGTGCGTGGGATAATAATGCTTATTTTATCTGTTGTCATGATATGTATGCCACTACTCTCTGGGTCTGCATCAAAGCACCTCCTAAATCTAATAACGACATATCTGTATAGACTACAAAGGTCCTATCACTGCTCAGAATAATCAATACCGGTGTTGTAGTCAACTTAGCCTTTAGAGTCTCAAAAGCCTCCTGGCACTTCGTGCCGGCGTGTAAGTGGCGTCGTAATCTTTGAGAAATCCTGAATAAACTTCTTGTAATAGCCTACTAAACCAAAGAAACTGTGAATCTTTGAAGCTGTCTTCGGCGGCTCCCAATTAAGTACTGCCTCCACCTTTGCTGGGTCTGCTACAATATCATCCTTGCTGATGACATAGCCCAAAAATCTAACTTCAGAAAGCCAAAACTCGCATTTGCTAAACTTAGCATATAATTGATGCTCCCGCAAGGTCTGCAATGCCAATCGAAGATGCTGCTCGTGCTCTGCCTCCAATCTCGGATAGACAAGAATATCATCGATGAATATGATCACAAATTTGTCCAAATATAGACGGAAAACCCGGTTCATCAAATCCATGAATACATTGGGTGCATAGATCAGCCCAAATGGCATGACAAGAAACTCGAAGGACCCATATCGAGTCAAAAAGGTGATTTTTGGAATATCCATCTCCCGAACCCGCAACTGATGATAGCCAGAACAAAGATTAATCTTCGAGAAATGTTGAGTTTCATGTAGCTGGTCGAATAAAACATCAATCCTTAGTAGTAGATACTGATTCCGGATAGTGACATTGTTCAACTCACTATATTCTATACAAAGGCGCATACTACCGTCCTTCTCCTTCACGAAGAGAACCATCGCTCCCCACAGAGAATGACTCCGGCAAATAAAGTCTTGAGATAATAACTCATCTAGCTGAGTCTGTAGCTTCCTCATCTTAACAAGTGTCATACGATAGGGTGCTCGGAAAATCGGTGTTGTGCCCGGCTGCAACTCGATGCAGAACTCAACCTCTCTCACAGGAGATAACCCAGGTATATCCGGAAAACATCCTGATAATCTGAGATAATTCTAGTCTCACATAAATCAGTACTCTAATCCCTCAGCATCACCTCCTCGATGTACACCACAAATGACTTCACAAACTGGTTACCCTGTGAGATCGCTACTATCAACTCAGACCCATCGGACACTCACAACTGACTGTTTTAGAAAAATAGTATATACTAACATGGTAGGATGATATCTAATCCATACCGAGAATAACGTCAAACTCTAACATTCGAAAAACTATCAGATTAAAAATAAACTCGGACTCATCTAGACTGATGACGCATCTCCTACAGATTATCTCAATAGGGATACCTCCCCTAAAGGAGTAGAGACGGATAACGGAAAGTCTAAGGGATGTACAAGTAGCTGAAACCTATCCATGAAGGTATGAGAGATAAAAGAATACGAAGCTCCTGAATCGAACAAGATCCGAGCTAGAAAGGAATAATCACTAAGAAAGCTCTACTTGCACCATGATCACGCAGTACGACTGCATAAACTCTGTCAGTGGTTGGCGACTGCTGTGCTACTGGCGATAGAATCTATGGGACTATCTATCCCTCAGGAATCTCTTGGATAGTGTGCATCTGGCCTACTAGCCCCTTGGTCCTCGTAATGGTAGGTGGTGCCTCAATCCTCTGTTACTAGTCGTAATCATAGCCCTGCGACTACTGACCCTGACCACTGTTCTGCTGGTGGTGATGAGAATCCTTACCCTATTGCTGGGGTCCTCCCGGTCTTACAAAAGGTTTCTTGTCCTTGTCCTGGTCTTCAGACAATCCTGCTTCCAAAATTAACTATTAGTACGTCTCACTGCCCTAATCGGGTTAGTTCTAGCTGCTTGTCAAAATAGTAGATAAAATCTTTCCATGAAATTAACATTAGCTGCTCCGGCGTAAGTAAAATCGGTGCTATCCTCCTGTATCATCCTTTAAGCTGAATATAACTGCTCTCCACTTATGTATTGAGTCGACGTTAAACACATCTAAAAATAATTCCTACATATTCCTTTTGTTAGACCCTAGAGGGGGGGTGATTAGGGTCTTATGCTAATCTAATCCGATTTTATGCCAATTAAAACTAATTAATAAGTTATCCTAGCAAGTATGAAATATAACATAATATGTGAGCTAGGAGAAGTAATATGAACAATGAGATATATCCTATATGATAAAAATATATGCAAGGATATATAAACTAACACAAGGGTGATGTAATCAAACTACAAATGTGATAGGGAAAAATATACAAGAGTAATAGGCAATGGCGATATAAGATAAATGCATAAGCAAATGCGCCAATGACAAACTCAAACACACTCAAATGATCACGGAGTTCGGACCTTCCGTCCTACATCTCCGCTCCCCACTCCCGGGGAGAAATCCACTATCACAACGGGGTTTTCTACGTTCACCCGAATAATGTTTACACCTCATAATGTTGGTTTTCAACGCTCACCAATCAACGTAACACTCACACTCACAATGTCGGTTTTTAACGCTCACCGATCAACGTTCACTCCTCAAACTCGGTTTTCTAGCTCACCGAAAACTTTACAATCTCACAATATAACAAACAATAAATTTGTTCTCTATAATAGATGAGAACACAATGAAAGCTCACACTCCATTGTTACAACTCTCACCAACCCAAATATACTATGTATGAAATTACGATAAGCTCATGTGGGTGTGTGTAACAATGAGAATAAATAAAACTTAACTCAAGAAGAACTAGCAATAAGATTGATATGAAATACAATAGTAAAAATTCTAGGAAATAGAGTTAAGGAAACTTCTCTATAAACACAAAGAGTGGATGATGAAATATTGAAGATGAACTCTTCAAAAACTGATGTAAGCTCCTCTTTGTAAAACCCCAAACTTAAAACAAACTAACCAAGCTTAAACCCTTATTAAACTTTTATTTTAAAAACTTCTTGGTTGTTAAAGAATGAGAGCAATGGGGTATATATAGCCACCCAAAACCTCAGCCAAAAACCCCAAAGGAAAAGACCAAAAAGCCCAAGAATCAGAAATTTGATTCTGTACAAATATAGCTGTTACAGTGTTATTGGTCGACTCGTCACTATTCATGAGTCGACTCATAACTAGCCGTTACAGGCTAAAAATAACTTATGAGTTGACTTATAAAAACTATCAGTCGACAAATTACACATGGGTCGACTCATCAGAAGCAAAACAAACTATCCAGCACACTTTGTGAGTCGACTTATGACAGTCATGAGTCGACTCAACTTGATGGGTTAACTCATGATGCTATGAGTCGACTCGTTAGAACCAAAATATAAACTACACAAAAGTTTATGAGTCGACTCAACACTGTTCATGAGTCGACTCATGACATGCACACAGCCTGTTTTAAACAGTACATGTCAACATAAAATATGGTTTAAAAATATCAAATAAATTTAGAAAAATATAAAACTTTGGAAAATGACTGTAGACATGATAATAAACATGCTACAGAAACTGGTTTTCAAAAAAGACTTTCCAAATGTAAAATATCATCATTTTGCAAGGAGGTCTAAAACACGAAAATGTAAACACAATAGTTTTGACATTTTAGCTAAACCATATTTTGAAACTTTACACAATGATTATATAGACTTAATAAAATATGTATATGATTATTGTTAAGTCCAAAAACTAAGAATACAATATTTTCACAAAATATATAATTTCATATATATGAACATGAAAACCCAAAACCGTGCATGTATATATATAACTATATATATACATACATAGAAACCAAATACGTGTGTGTATATGATATTAAGCTTAGAGTATCTAACACACATAATATAAAACCTAAACTAAATTACCCAAGCTTGATCTTGAACTTCAATAGCTTGACTTGGTAATCTTGCGGATGAAGTTTGAACTTGTATCTTTAACTTGAATGTATGTAGCTTCACTCCACAATTCCACCAACCTCCATTGGATATGATCGTTGAAGCTCTATTCCATCCATCCTCCAACATATTATTTACCTAGAATAAATATAAAACACAAACACTAGACAAACAATATTAGTGGTAAATTGTTTGTTAAACATCATCAAAACAAAGAGGCCAACACCTTTCACTTATAGGTTGCAAATGAATCTGATGTGCCCTAAAACTTTGGTGCTCTCATCTTCTGATGTATTTCTCATTCTTATAGAGCCAAGCTTCTTGCTTTATTTCTCTATTAACAGCTGGTTGTGGTGATGGTGTAATCGTCAATATTACCTCTTCAATAGGTACGACTGGTATGACTAGTGGTGGAACTTTAGAAAGTATAATCTGGTTCATTACTCACTCCTCGAGAGTTGCTAGTCGCTACCTCTATAATCGGCGTTACTAAGTCGATCAAATACTGTGGAGCCTACTGCGGCTCGGGCTCTACTTGCCCAGTTATCCGGGTACGAGTTTCACCTCGACTATGTCCTCATCCTAATATTTATAATACCAAGAGGAGAGCTTCACAAACATACATAACATAACATATAACAGTAGAAAAATCGTATCATATATCATTCATGCAATTACTTTTCAATCAAAGTAAGGTAGTCATAAAAAAAAATTTGAATTTCGGAATATACGTATATAACGTCCTCACTCATTCTAGAAATCCTAGCGGACTCTATACATGAATCCTAAGAAATTCTATTCTAGCTCCATGACTCGACACGGGAAAGATCCTATGGATGCTGGAACTAAAGCTCTCATACCAACTATGACGCCCCTGTTTTCACACATGGCTGTAGTCCAAGGTGAATCCAGTGATGTCAAACCTACCATGCACCCACACTGTGTAATAACACGTTTTACCAATCATAGTAATATCCTCTAGTGGAATCAAAAAGAAGTGTAGGTGCAAAACAGACAAAATAAGGTAAATAAATACAATAGACATGATATAGAAGGATAAATCTCATAAATAAAACCATGTCTCAAATGAATAAAACTGTAAACACCTGATCTTTAAAATAATATAAAAATATCTCGACATGAATCAACTGGAAATGTAACTAAGGCTCATAGCCTTTATAAAATAAAATACAACTCAAATAACTGAATGGAAACATAAATCTACTATGGAGCCTCTACTGATAACTCACGCGATGGCGACTATACAAGAACTCTGTCATCCTACAGCTTTTTGAAACTTTGAGCTGCCTGAAAAAAATTTTAAAATAAAAAGAATAATAACAAGAGCGTCAGAGCGCTATAGTAAGATCACCTCCATTCGCCCTCAAGGGAAGGGCTGCTAGATAAAGTGGAGGCTCTACCTATTAAGCATAGTCTACCTAGATTATTTACCCTATATCTAATAGAGTTAATATTTAGACACCTACAAGATGAGACTTAGTACGTCGAGCGAAATAATCCAAACATGGAAATCCTCATGTATATACCATATGTCTCAAATTGTAGATGCCTAAACATTAACACCGAACTAGAGATAAACAATCTAAATAAAATCAATAATTAGAAACCCACAACACGAGAC